CTTGCTTTGTAGTATTTGCCCACGTCCATAGTGTACTTGTTCTTATCATGGCTGATTTCAGTCTCCCAACATGACGTCATCGAATGTGAGTTGGGAAGAGATGCACACAATCAGCTTAAAGCCAGTGAAAACCAGCTGCAGCACACATTGCACAGCAGCAGCATTGTGATGCCAAATCGTTGTGTCCTCAGTTACATAGTGTAAACAATACATACACAGAACCTCACATATCTCAAAGAGAAAAAAACAAATACACAATTATAATAGTAACATGTTTTGCATAGGATTTGCACATATGAGAGATGAAAATCAAAAAGAAATAATTCGGGATAAAGATTATTAACTATCCAAGCAGCAAACTTGGCCTTGTTTTCAATTAATGACACTACACATGACAGCAGAATGCATGTTCTATTGAAGTTATATGGAGATGTCGACCACGCAATAATCTTAGGAGAGACAACTCACTGAGATCATGACTACATCAGAGGATGTAGTGATTGTCACTTGAGGAAGTTAGCCCTATTCACAAACATTTCAAGTGCCTGTTTTAAGTCTCTGTTCCTCAGGCTATAGATGAAGGGGTTCAGCATGGGGGTAACTACGGTGTACATGACGGAAGCAATTATGTCTTTGGAGTCCCATGATGAGGAGAAAAAGTAAACACTTGCGACTGTCCCGTAGTATAAAGATACCACAAAGAGATGGGAGCCACAGGTAGAAAAGGCTTTCGAGAGTCTCTTAATGGTGGGGACCCTCAGGATGACAGCCCCTATACAGATATATGAGCCTAAGATACTACCCAAAGGCAGGATGATAAGTATTCCTCCCTCAGTGAAGATGACCAGCTCATTGAAGGAGATGTCGGAGCAGCTGAGCTTCAGGAGCACAGTGAGGTCACAGAAAAAGTGGTTGATGTTACTGTCCACACAGAAGGACAGTCGGACCAAAAGGAGGGTGTGCAAGAGGGCATGGACAAAGGAGACAATCCAGGAGCCAGCCACCAGCAGCACACACAGCTCATCCCTCATGATGGTGGGGTAGTGTAGAGGGTGACAGACAGCCACGTACCTGTCATACGCCATCACTGCGAGAAGGAAGTTGTCAATGCAAGCAAAAACTATGAAAAAATACAACTGAAAAATGCACTCTGCATAGGAGATGGCATGGTCCTGAGTCTGCATATTCATGAGCATCTTAGGGACGGTGACAGATGAGAAAGAGATGTCAGAGAGGGCCAAGTGACTGAGGAAGAAGTACATGGGCGTGTGCAGGCGAGCGTCCAGCCTGATGAGCAGGAT